TGTCATTGTTGTTTATCGGGCCCAGGCTGGATTTGAACCCCCCAGCTCAGGTGTATGTGGCTGGCTCCTTAGCCGCTTGAGCCACAGGCGCTGCCCCAATATCCCAATTTTTTTGTTTGTTTTTTTGTTTTTTGCAGCTTTCTAACTGGGGCTGGATTTGAACCCACCACCTCTGGTATATGGGACCGGCGTCCTACTCCTTGAGCCACAGGTGCTGCCCCAATATCCCGATTTTGATTGAGCTGACATTACAGCCTGTTCCAGAACTAACAGGCGAGATGCCCTCAGGCTTGGGTCCAGAGACAAAGCAGGAGGTGCACTGGGGGTGAAAGCTGTGGGCTAGGGCCCCCCTAGACTAGCCAAGGCAAAGACTGCATACCCAGAGTTCCAACTGACCACATGAAGTCTCCCTCTCCCTGCTGTGTAGCCTTGGCTGACTCACTTTCCCTCTCTGGGCCTCAGTTTTGTCATTTGTAAAATAATATTTGATGATTTCCATCCTGAAGGGTTGTAGGAGAATCAGGGTGGCACAGGGAAAGTGTGCCCAGGGGATGGAGAAAGTTCTCTGAGCCTCATACTGTGCCACCCCAGGCTGGTCTGCGCCTTGCCTTGGTCACTTGACTGATCACCTGACCCCCCACCCCTGCTCTGGTTATTTTGGTTCCAGTCGGTTCACCTGTGGGGCAACAGGTGCCTCATGGAAGAGGAACCCATGGGACCATGCAGACCAGGTCAAGGCCTGAGAAACAGCCTGTCCCAGCCCAAAGCGTTCACTTGTCTGCTCCCAAATGCCTGAAATCCCCCTTTTGAATTGTCACCCTTGAGCTTTGACTGAAAGGGCCAAGTGACAGCAGGTGACCACTAGTTGCTGACCTCAGAATGGGACTCCCTGACCTTCCCAGGAACCTCCAAACTCCACCCCAAGGCTCAGGTCTTGGTGTGCTCAGGGGGTATAGCTCAGGAACTGAGGCCCCAGTTCTGCTCCTCAAGACTCCTCTGGTCTGCTGGGGGTCTGACTGGCAGAGCCAGAGGGTCCTGCTCTAGCCACCCCAAACTCCCACTTAGGTCAGGCTGGCCTGGGGGACAGGAGCACCGTGGACTCAGGCAGTGGCTCTGCCTCAGCCCTGTGCCTGTCCTACAGGCCCCAGCTATCCTCTATAAATGCACTCAGGGTCTGGTGTGAGTGAAGTCCCCCTGTGGCCTGGCATGCAGTGGGACCTCAGCTGGTGACAGCTGTTCCTTCTCGGGGACTGAGTGGCTGTGTGTCTCCTCCCACAGATCCTAAACATGGAAGATGACCAGAACTGGTATAAGGCCGAGCTCCGGGGTGCCGAAGGGTTTATCCCCAAGAACTACATCCGTGTCAAGCCCCACCCGTGAGTGGCCACCACCCTCCCCCCAGATCCCCCATGTCTGTGTCCCCCCACCTGGCCTGGCCCAGGACACAGTGTCTCTCCTGGCCCATCTATCTGTCTGGGCCCCAGTATACACAGAAGGTGCCACGCTGTGCAGACAGGAGACTGAGATGTGAGGACTTGCCCTCAGTGGTGGCAGAGACCTAACACTGAAAGCCTGGCCTACTGGAGAATGTTCAGGAGGGCCCTGGGAAAGGACAGAGTCCTGGGCTCTCAGCTGGCTGGGACACTGTCCACTCCACTCTGTGGCCTCAGGCAGTCCTTTCCTGTCCACTCCACTCTGTGGCCTCAGGCGGTCCTTTCCTGTCCACTCCTTTCCCTGTAGCCCAAGGAAGGCTGAGGCCTGAATCTGTCCAGACTATCCAATGTGTGGAGGGTTCTAGATGTCTCTGAGAGGCTGACTCAGCCCCGAGTCGGGGCTGGGGTGGAACGGTGGAGGGTTCAGGGCTGGGCAGGAAACAGACTCTGTGGGCCCTGAATTTGGGATATGGGAACAAACTAGATGTTGGCAGAGCAGAGTCTGGGGCTACAGTAGAGAGAGAGTGGTGTCTAGGGTTCAGGTGTCCTGGGGCCTGGAACCTTCTGGCCCAGGAAGTCCCGGGCCAGGACCTCAGCAGGTGCTGCCATGAGAGTGGCTGGGGCAGAGTCTAGCGTCAGACAAACATGGGTCACCAGGAAATCTATAAAAAACTAACTGGATATGCAGAGGCAGCCCCAAGATACAGCCACTAACTGGTTCACTAGACACAGCCCCAGGGGGTCCCAGCCTGGGGGACGCTGGGGACACAGAGCGTCAGAGCAGCTGTGTTCTGTTGGGGAGAGAGGACGCGGAGAAAATCCTACCTCTGGGAAGTGAGGTTTCGAAGGACGTATAGGAGAAGTTGGCTAAGTAGAAGAGAAAGGCACTCCTGGAAGAGAGTCAGGATGAGTAGAGAGAGAAGATGAGGAGCTGGAAGGAAGGCCTCAAATGCCAGGCCCAGGTAGTGGGGAGTCAGGAGGGTGTTGGGGGAAGGAGGGACACAGATATGGACACTGGTGGCAGGGCCAGCAGGCTGGAGGGGCAGATTGGGAGCTGTTGTGTGGGTGGCTGTGGGTGGAAGGGAAGGCGGCAGAGGGTGAGGGTGGGGCCTGAGAGTTGTTTCCTCTTTATCTCTTTTTGAGTTGTTTTTAAAGCTGCCACCACCTCTGGCTTCCTGCGCTGGGCATGGCCCAGTTCCCACTCAGGTCCCAGCCGGTTTGTGTGGGCTCCAGGCACGCCCAGCCTCCCCCACGCAGGCTGCTGCCTCCAGGTGGCATCCTGGGCTAGAGCCTGGCATCCAGAGCCCGCTGTGCCCTCGTGACTGGGCACCACCTGCCCCTCTGACCTTCAGGGAGAGGAAGGGAGTACAGGAAAAGGGAGGGAGAGAGTCCAACCCAGGGCCACAAGCCTGGCCCTGTCCCCAGTCATCTGTGAGCTGACACCAAGTCCAGATGGCAGGAAGGCAGGGTGGGCACAGTCCCCATGGGCTGGAAGGTCAGGGAGGGGCCTTCAACAGAAGAAATGGCCTGGCAACAGCTGGACAGCTGGAAGGCCCAGAGCTGCCAGACTCCCTGAACAGGAGCTTCCATTTGTTCCGTTTGAGGAGAAAAAGAACAAAGACGCAGTGCTGGGCCAGGCCTGTCTGGGCAACGCTGGTAGTGGAGGCAAGACTCTAGTAAGGCATCTGGGAGCCCAGGAGCGCTCTAGGCTCTGATGCCTCTGGAGTCTGCTCTGGCCACAGGATGGGTTCAGACCCCTGAACATCCTGCATGAGGCAATGCCCAGGTGTACTTCTCGCTAACCTGAGCAGCTACCCTGGTCCCAAAATAGCTGTGGGGAAACTCCAGCTCCACACCTGACTCAGCCCAGAGGCAGCAGGATGCAGGGGTGGGGAGGGGCAGGGACTCCAAAAGGCCTCACACCTACATCAAGCCCACTCCTTCCTCCACTCTCGCCCCTGGGGCAATCCCCTGGGGAGGAGCAGGGTGCAGTCCCCAGTACTTCCAGAGTCAGCCTCATCAGTCAGCCACCACACAGGCACTTGACCCTGCCGAGCGAGCCTGCAAGGAGCCCAGGAAGGTCAGGAGAAAGGGCATGGATGGGCCCCCGGCAGTTAGAGCAGAAGCCTGTGTGGGAGGAGGGCGGGAGACAAGGCGGAGTGAGGGGTGGGGAGGAGCCGCCAGCATCTGCCTGCAGCAAGGGCGCCCTGGGAGATAAGGCAACAGAAGCACAGAGAAGCTGAGTGGCTCTGCAGGTCACACAGCTGGCAACAAGGGGAGAGAGATTGCAGTGGAGTGAGATTGGAGCTCTGGGCTGGGCCAGCAGGAGGGTGGCAAGAAAGCCCATAAGGATAGGTGTGGGGCCAAGGGAGAGTCCAATTCCAGGGCAGGCGGGAATGGGGGGGACGTCTCTGCCCCTTTCTGGGTCTTAATTTCCTCATTAGTAAAATGGAGACAATGCAATTTGAGGAGGCCACAAACTGAGTGACACTAGTGTGGGGGCACACGCTGGGTCCCGGGTCATTCTCCTCATGCCCCCCGCCCCTCGGCTGCCCTTGGCTGGGACAGGGCTGGCAGGGGATGCAGAGGCCTCCTTGGGGGGTGCAGCTGTGACACTCTGTGAGGGCAAAGCCGCCCACACACAGACACTTCCTGTGGGGTTTTGTGGGTTCTTTGGAGACACCTGGCCCTTTAGGAAACTCCCACACAAGGCCCCATGGTGTGTGGCTCCAACAGGACAGAGCTGAGGGCTCCCAGGCGGAGGAGCTCATAGCAGCTCCCTTCCCTGGTGCCCCCGACCCTGGCCCTCCACACTCCTACTCTACAGCCTGAAGACCTGCCCAGGGTGGTTGCGCACCAGCCCCTAGGTCTCCAGATTTCAGGTGAACCAAGCAACCTCTTCAGATGGTCACCCCCAGTCTCTATACTCAGCAGCACCCTCCCTTTCTGCCTCCCCTCCCTGGGGAACTGAGGGCCCCTCACTGGTTGCGGGTAGCAGTAGTCCAGAACCTCACGTCTGGGGGCGTGGGCTTTCCTGGGATTCAGATGTGAGAACAAGGAATTTGTTTAGCATTGGGAACTGGACAGGGAAGGTGCCAGTGGGGTGTGTCACTGACATCACTGCTGCTGGGGGCAACTGCAGCTCCGCCTGACTGGGAAACAAGGGGAGACAGCTCAGAACATGTACCCGGGAGTCAGCCCACCTGAGGGCAGGGCGCTGGCTGTCTGACCTCCTCTTCCATCAGTCATCACTTGAGAATGTCCCAGGGGCATCACAAAGCCAAGGACGTTGGTGCCAGACAAGAGCTCCGGGGCAAAATCCCTGAGTTTGTGCTGAGCCGTAGAGGTGAGAGCAAGGGCAGGACACCAGCATCTGCCTGGGCCCCCCACACGCCCTCTGCCCTCAGTTCCAAGGATTGGCCAACATCCTGGGACAACAGGAAAAGTCCCACCAGGTACCTGCTGCCTGTGCCAAGTTCAGTCTGACTCAGGAAGCATTTGCTAAAGCAGTGAAGTGAAACATTTCAGGGAAATGGGGGCTCTGGGCTCTGCTCTTGGTCTGTGATGGTCCCATGAGACCTCTGGCTGCCCTTGGCCTTAGTTTCTCCACCTGAACAATAAAGGATCAGAGGCAAAGCTGGGCTGTAACTCTGGAGCTGGCGAGCCTGGCTCCTCTTTATATATTTTTGACTACTCTCTCTCTCTCTCTCTTTTTTTTTTTTTTTGCAAAGACAGAGACTTACTATGTGGCCCAGACTGGTCTTAAACTCCTGGGCTCAAGTGATCCTGCTGCCAAAATGCTAGGATTACAGGCATGAGCCCAAGGCCTGGTTATATATTTTTTGACTCTTAAGAGTCTACCATCCCTTGGCTGGGTGGGGTGGCTCACAACTGTAATCCTAGCACTCTGGGAGGCCAGGGCAGGGGATTGCCTGAGCTCACAGGTTCCAGACCAGCCTGAGAAAGAGTGGCACTCCTGTCTCTAAAAATAGCCACAATTGTGGTGGGCGCCTGTAGTCCCAGTTACATGGGAGGCTGAGGCAAAAGAACCACTTGAGCCCAAGAGTTTGAGGTTGCTGTGAGCTGCTATGTCACAGCACTCTACCAAGAGTGACAAAGTGAGACTCTGTCTCAAAACAAAAATAAACATACAAAAAAAACCCCAAGAATCTACCATTTTCAATGCTTTGGGGAGCCAAGGCAGGAGGATCATTTGAATTCAGGAGTTCAAGACTGGGCATTGGTGGTAACTGTGGCTCAGTGGGTAGGGCACCAGCCCCATATACTGAGGGTAGCACGTTGGAATCCGTTCCTGGCCAAGGCAAGAGAATCTCAATCGCCTAAGCCCAGGAGTTGGAGGTTGCTGTGAGCTGTGATGCCATAGCACTTTACTGAGGGCGATAAAGTGAGAAAAAAAGAAAAAGAATTTTAAAAAAGGCTGGGCATCATAGGCTTGGCACCTATAGTTTAGTGGTTAGGGCACCAGCCACATACACCGAGGCTGGAGGGTTCCAACCCAGCCTGGGCCAGCTAAACAACAGTGACAACTGCAACAAAAAAATAGCCAAGCATTGTGGCAGGCACCTGTAGTCCCAAATACTTGGGAGGCTGAAGCAAGAGAATCACTTACACCGAAGAGTTTGAGGTTGCCGTAAGCTGTGACACCATGGCACTCTACCAGGAGCGACATAGTGAAACTCTGTTTCAACAACGACAACAAAAAAAGACTAGGGATCATAGAGAGACCCTATCTCTACAGTAAGTAGAAAAATTATCTGGGCATGGTGGTGTGTGGCTGTAGTCCCAGCTACTCAGGAAGCTGATGCAGGAGGATTGCTTGAGCCCAGGAGTTGGAGGCTGCAGTGAACGATGGTTATGCCACTGTACTTTAGCATGCACAACAGAGTGAGACCCTGTCTTAAAAAAGAAAAAGAAAAAATTAAAAAAAAAAAGGATCTGTTATCTAAAGTGGAAAAGCCAGGCTGGGTGCCTGTAGCTCAATGGTTAGTGGGCTGGCCCTGTGCACTGGTGAGGGCTGGTGCGTTCAAACCCCACTGGGGCCTGCTAAACAAATAAATAAGTAACATAGAAAAGCTAGACTGGGGTTGGCTGGATTTTGACTCACTAGAGCATGATTTATGCATTTGCTGGAGTGGTGGGAGAGGCTGGGCTCAGGTGTCTACATTTTGGGATTAGTTTCTAGCTCCCTGCCTTCCTCAGCCATGTGGCCTTGGGCACAGCACTGCTCCTCTCTGTGTCTCAGTTTCCCCATCTGTGAAATGGGTGCCATGATATCTCCCATGTCTCAGGATGGCAGTAAGGAGTGTCCATGTTGAACACCTGACGGTCAGGCTGAGTGTGTGGCGGCTGAGAGCCCAGCCTCCCCTGCCTTCACCCACCCGCTTCTCTCCACAGGTGGTACCTGGGCAGGATTTCCCGGCAGCTAGCTGAAGAGATTCTGATGAAGAGGAACCATCTGGGAGCCTTCCTGATCCGGGAGAGTGAGAGTTCCCCAGGAGAGTTCTCCATCTCTGTGAAGTGAGCAATGGCCTTTCAGGCTGTGTAAGAGGGTAGGGGCAGGATGGCAGTGTCCTAGCTGAGCCTGGGGGCCTGGCCTGCTCACAGAGTGAGGGTGGAGGGGTGACATCTCTGTGGGATGAGAGGTCTGGGCACCTCAGGGTGTGGTCCAAAGCATTGGGGTCGTGGTGTTGGGAGAGCAGCCTCAGGCCGGCCGTGCAGAGGCCTAACACGCCGGGCTGAAGGGTCCAGACTTCATTCTAGCAATAGTATGGAGCATCACAGGTTCTTAATAGAGGAGGATGTTGCCAGTTGAGGTGGTGAGAGGCTGGGGGCAGAGGAATTTGAAGCGCCCAGGACAGGTATCCCGGAGATGCTGTGGACCGACTCCCACTCTGCAATGCAGCCCGGGGCCAGGTTGTTCAGGTTTGAACTCTGGTTCTGCCACTTCCTGACTGTGTGAGCTTGGGCAAGTCACTTAACTTCTCTGTGCCTGTTTCCTCACCTGTGAAATAGGTTGTTGCAAGGAACAAATGTGTTGTTATATTTAAAGCAATTAGAATAGCACCTGGCATTGGCAGGATGGCGGTGATGGAGACACCTGGCTGTGGGATTGGGGTGCTCCTCAGCCATGTAGGGCAGCCTCTGTCAGCACTGACCCCAACCCCAAAGGCCATAACCAGGGTGACTGGGGGGGGGTGGGGCCTGGGGTCAGGACCCTACCTGGGCCTTGCCCTTCCTGCTCAGAGGAGCAGGATCTCCACATGTAAATTCAAGGGTGTTTACTGAGGCTAACAAGTAAGTAACTAGTAAGTAGTCTGTTGCAGCAGACCAGGTGATATATGACTGAGACTGGTAGGTTTAAGGAAGTGAAGACGACATTGAAAAAAACAAAGTTGCTGCCCTGTGGGTTGGAGTTTTAGAGAGGAAGACAAAACAAGAAAACAAAAGTACAGAACGAACCCAGGAGGTCAGAGAAGGCCTCTCTGAGGAGGTGGCATTTCAGCAAAGATCTGAACTAGAATGTGGAGGCTGCCCAGGTCCCCAAGAATGAAGACCCAGGAGGAGAGTCTTCCAGGCAGAGGAGCAGCTAAAGCAAGGTCTGAGGTGGGAAAGCACAGAGTGGGCAGGGGCAGGGCAGGGGTGGAGTCGGGCTGGAAAGGAGATAGAGCTTTCTCTCCAAGGGATCCCTGGCTGCTCTGGCTGCTGTGAGGAGGAAGTGTGGGGGTGCGTGTGGCAGCAGGGAGGACTGTGAGGGGCCAGGCAGGAGGTGAAGGGATGAGGAAAGGCCCCCAGAGAAGGGTGGCATGGCCTCTGGGAGGCGGTGGCCAGGGAGGGTGTTTTGTGGCTTGGCTGGGGTCCCTTTCCTAGAACTGGGTTGATTCCAAGCAGATGGCTCCACGATTTTCCAAAGGATGAACACACACACAGGATGTTCAGTGTTAGTGGACTGGGTGGGGAGACATGGTGTGGCCAGGTGCTGAGGTCAGGGGACCCCAAGAAGTAGAAGATGAGAGATGTGGATAGAGACCTTTCACATTTCCTCATGCAGCTCCAGACAGGTGGAGCCACATGGCCCACATGAGGGCTCTTACTGCTCAGAAATGTCCCTATCTGATGCCTCTGGGCTCTGTAGCTTGCATGTTGTCCACAGGCCACCGTTGCCTGGCATGAGCACAGCCCTGCCAGGTGGCAAGGTCTGAGGTGGGGTTGGGCCTGGCGGCATCTGCTAGGGTAGGACCTAATGCCAAGAAGGCTGCTCTGGGGGCAGATCTACCAGCCCAGCACTCATCTGAGCCCCCAAGCTGTGTGACCAGGGTCAGCTTTGGTCACTTCCCTTTTCCCTGGGGAGCAGGCTGGATATTCTGAGGGGTAGGACTGGCTCTTGCCCTCTCCCAGCCTCCACTGCCCCATCATAATAATGGGAGCCCTTCAGCCTTTCTGTTTGTGGGGGAGGAGGTGGGTGAGTTCCTGGCCTGACTGCCCACCCTGCCCCCACGGTGGGCACCTGGAGTCTGGAATCCCCAATGGGTACCCCAACCCCTGAGGAGCTGAGAGGCAAGGAAGCCAGGTTTTCCAAGTACAGCTGGGCTGACCAGGGACATGGTTGTCTCCCAGGAGTGGCACCCCCCAGGCAGGCTGGTCTGGCCCAAGGTCACCCAGCAAAGCTGGGACACGGAAGACTCAAGCCTGAGTTGTAGGAGAGGTGTTCTCCTCTCCCCTCGGCTCCCCACCTCGCCTTTCTTCCACCACAATAGATCTCACGCCAACTCCGCCTTTGACGCCTCATTGCACCGCCCTCTCCTGGTGGATCTCTGTAAACGCAGCCCCACTGCATCCCTGCACATCTCAGCCCAGCAAGTTTACTGAAAACATGTTTACTGAGAATCTGCTGTGCGGGACCCACAAGGCAAGACAGGGACAGGAGTCAAACTCAAGGAGTGCTGTGTGGAGATAGACACTGGCTGGCCCAGGGGTCTGTCTCTGATATGAGCAAATGAATAAATGAAATTCTGTGCCAGGGACACATTCCACATGATGAAAACATAGGGAGAAGGTGACATTTGAGTTGGGCCCTGAGGCATGAGTAGGAGTTTGGTACACATAGGAGAGGACATGCCAGGCACAGATAACAGCACTGTAATGACACAGAGGTGGTACAATGAGGGTCATGTTTGGGTAACAACAGGTGGTTTGACCAAGAAAGAAGATGGGAAGTACTAAGGAGCAGTTTTTTTCCTTTTTCTTCTCTTTTTTCTTTCTTTTTTAAAATTACTTTTCTGTTGCAGTTGTCATTGCTGCTTAGCTGGCCTGGGCTGGGTTCAAACCCAACAGCCTCAGCGTATGTGGCTGGCGCCATAACCACTGTGCTATGGGCACTGAGCCTCTTTTTCTTTTCTTTTCTTTCCTTTTTTTTTTTTTTGAGACAGAGTCTCACTTTGTTGCCCTCGGTAGAGGGCTGAGGCGTCATAGCTCACAGCAACCTCAAACTCAGGCTGAAGGCAATTCTCTTGCCTCAGCCTCCCAAGTAGCTGGCACTACAGGTGCCCACCACAACCCCTGGCTATTTTTTTAGAGAGAAGGTCTCGCTCTTGCTCAAGCTGGTCTCAACCTCCTGAGCTCAGGCAATCTATCCACCTCGGCCTCTCAGAGTGCTAGGATTACAGGCATGAGCCACCGTGCCCAGCCTTATTTTTCTTTTTTTAAGAGACAGGGTCTTTCTCAGACTGACATGCAGTGGCATGATCATGGCTCAGTGCAGCTGTGAACCCCTGGGCTCAGGTGATTCTTATGCCTTAACCTGAAGAGTAAAGACTATAAGTGTGTGCCACCACACCCAGAAAACTTTATTTTATATGTAGACTAAGTCTTGCTATGGTGTCCAGGCTGGTTTCAAACTTCTGGCCTTCAAGCAATCCAACTGCCTTGGCCACCCCCAAGTGCTGGCCTTGGGAGCAGTTAGGGACCCTCCAGTTTCTTGTCTCCCCAGACTGTGTTTAATGTGAACCACCAGGAGGTGCCCTAGACCCTTGGTTTCTCCCCATCTGGGTCTCCCCTCCCAATCCTCCTCCAGCTCATGGTCCTTCAACTTTCATGGTGGTCCTTGAATGACCACCAGGCAGGGGTCAGAGTCAAACCCTGAGACCCAGATGGGGCGTGTGGCTAAGAACGTGGGATTCTGAGCAACAGTCTCAGCTGTGACACCTATTAGTGACACCAGTATAATCCTAGGCCAATTCCCTCCTGAGCCTCAGTTTCCTTGTCTGTAGAATGGACATCTATGTAAAGTGCTCAGTGTGATGACTGGCACATAGTAAGTGCTTGGTAAGTGCTAATGGTAATTATCATTATATGAACACCCCCCACCCACCCAAAGACTACATAACATGCTGGAGAGGGCCGAGGGAGCCTCTCTTGGCTTGGGAGACTGATCCCTATCCCCTGCCCAGTCCAGGGCTCTTGGAGAAGAGGTCATGGCCTAGGGATGCAGGGAGCCTAGTTCTCATCCTGGCTTTTTCCTACTGTGTAACCCCAGGCAAGTGCCATCCCCTCTGGACTGTCATGTCCTCATCTATAACATGGAGGCAGTGACCCCAGATGCTGTGAAACCTAGTGACCCAATGGCCATCTAGAAAAGTGACAGCTTCGCAGAATCATGTGTAAGAGTCTCCCACCCTCACTGGCTTGGCACGTGGGCACTCTGTCCCCACGGTGCATGGTGTCTCCTATACACTAGTGCCGAGCCCCATAAAGCTGTCAGAGGCCGGGTTTATGGGCCTCATGCTGCCTCACAAAGCAACAGTGGCCACAGCTAGGTGCACTTTACAAGTTTACAAAGGGCTGCTAATATATATATTTTTTGAGACAGAGCCTCAAGCTGTGACCCTGGGTAGAGTGTCATGGCATCACAGCTCACAGCAACCTCCAACTCCTAGGCTCAAGCGAGTCTCCTGCTTCAGCCTCCCAAGTAGCTGGGACTACAGGTGCCCGCCACAACGCCTGGCTATTTTTTGGTTGTAGCCGTCAGTGTTGTTTGGCGGGCCCAGGCTGGATTTGAACCTGCCACCTTAGGTGTATGTGGCTGGTGCCTTAGCCACTTGAGCTGAGCCGTGGGCTGTCTAATCTTGCCCTGCCCTCCTGTCTAGCTACTACTCCTCTCCCGTAAGGAGTGTGTCCTCAGTGAAGGGCTTTGCTTCCTTTCAGCCAGAAATACTCTAGAGTCCCTGCACATATGTTTGCTCTGCCCATCTGATCTCTGAACCCCAACTCTGTGCCAAGCTCTGTCCCAGTCGAGGTGATGACTGGCACACGGCAATTCCCAGGCACTGGGATTCAGCCACTAACAAAATAAGACGAGCTCTGTCCTTTAGGCGCTCACATTCTACTGGGCGACAGATAATAAGTAATTCACAAATTATATAGAATTGTAGGTGATGATCAAGACTTTGGAGAAAATAAAGCAGGGTAGTGGGGTTCTGATTTCAGATGGGAGGAACTGGCTGCAGAAAAAACAGGGAGCTTGAAGTGCAAGATCCCCAGAAGCCCTTTTGCAGGTAAGGAAACTGAAGCTCAGAGAGGTGCAATAATTTGCCCAAGGTCACACAGTATGGAACAGCAGAACTGATGCCCACTGACCCTCTGTGCCTTGACAGACCTGGTCTGCCTCCTACCCATCCTCCTTAAGACCCGGAGCACCTGCAGGACTGTCCTACTGGCGGTACCCTACCCTTTCTGAAGCCCACTGGCCCTGCCCCAGAGCCCTGTAGTGTAGGTTATGGCACCCTCCCTTCCAATAGATGGGCAGACTGAGTCCAGAAAGGGGCCGCGTCCACTGGAGACTGTGGCAAGCTGTTAGCACCCTGTTAGCAGGCTGTTAGCACCCTGTCAACCCTGTGGGTCCCCAGGCCCTGGCACAGCCTTGTTTTTCATCCCTGGCTGCCTCTGTCACCTTTGCTGCTGCTGATGTTGCTGCCACCAGGCCAGAAAAACCTGCTGGGCAGGACTGGCTATTGCCAGTGTTAGGCCTGACTTGGTTCTTAGTGCTTCTCTGATGGGGCCTGGCACAGCCCTGTCCCCTTACCACCCACTATAGATGGGTCATCTGGACTCAGACTCTGCTCCTGAGGCTGAGGCTGAGGTGGGGGGAGGTGGGAGGGTGGGGGGTGGGGCCTGAAGTCAGGAGAGGCTCTGGAGGGCAGTCCCTGTCTGAGGGGTCCACAGACACCTCCAACCTCCATAATGGCCTTGAAGGATGGGTGAGGCCAAGATCAGGCAGAGAAACGGGGAAAAGGTGTCCTTCCTAGAGATGGGCAGATAGGCCAGGCTGCCGCAGAGCAGCTGCCTCAGACAGGGCCAGTCTGGCAGGAGGGGCTGTGCCGGTGCCTTGAAGGCACAGCCCTGCCAGCACAGGCTGTGTGGCCGTCGTTGCAGGCCCCTCTTCTCTCTGGTTTCACTCTCTTCCACTGTGACACAGAAATTTGGGACCAGGTGGGAGAAGGGACAACACCTGACATTTGCTGAGCACCTACTGGGTGCTACACATGGGGTGGGGGCTGGCTGGTGCACTTTTCCCAGGTTTGAGAATTCTCCAGTTCTCAGGTTGTAAAGCTCTAGAATTCCTGGGTCCCCTTCCCCTTTCTCTTATCTCCTGATCTCCACTCCCTAACCCTCCTATGCCATCAGAGAATGCTTTGTCTTAGGTGACTTTCCAAGTAACTGAAGACGACCTTCAAATACCAAAATGTTCAAAGTTGGGGTCCTTTGGGATCGCAAACTCTTTTTTTTTTAATTTAATTTAATTTAATTTAATTTTGTATATTCTACTTTTCTTTTTCTTTTTCTTTTTTTGAGACAGAGTCTCAAGCTGTCGCTCTGGGTAGAGTGCTAGGGGCATCACAACTCACAGCAACCTCCAACTCCTGGGCTCAAGCAAGTCTCCTGCCTCCACCTCCCAAGCAGCTGGGACTACAGGTGCCTGCCACAACGCCCAGCTATTTTTGGTTGCAGCCATCAGTGTTATGTGGTGGGCCCAGGCTGGATTTGAAACCACCAGCTCAGGTGTATATGGCTGGTGCCTTAGCTGCTTGAGCCACAGGCACCGAGCCAGGATTGCAAACTTATCTCTTTTAACTCTATCACATGCTTTCCGTCCCCTCACCCAGAGGAAGGGAGGGGCACCTGTACCCAAGGCTTCTCCTCAGGGCTGGCACAGAACAGGGCCTTCTGCCTCTGTACCGGGTACCCCTACCCCTTGTTGGGGTCCCTGCTTCCCAGCTTAGCACCTGCTCAGCGTGGGTCCTTTTGTACCACAGCTCTGAGTGATATTCCTCCTCCATGCACCACGGCCAAAATCTAGGCATCTGCGAGCTCGTTAGAGCCTGGCGCTAGGAAATCATGGGGTTAGAGGTGCCCCTGGGAGGCTGCAGCAGGCCAGACAGGGCAGGAGACACCCATCCGCCCTCACGCTGTCCTCTGCATGGCAGGCTCATGGATGGCGCATGGATACACAGTTGCATAGCTGATGACACAAGTGACTTAGTCATGGGGACAAGGCCTGTCGAGGGCACATGAGTGGCTTTGTCTCAGCTTTGAGGACCATTGCTCCATCTGGCTGAGAGCCTCCTTGAGGAGAGAACTGGCTCCCTTTATGGCTGAGCTGCCCTGAGAGCCGGATGTGTCTGAGAGTCCCGGGCCTGCCCCTGCGCCCCGGCCCCAGTTTCAGGGTCAGGATACCTAGAGGGCACGAATCTGAGGTCAGAGCCGAGAAGAGGGTTTTGAAGTGTGCCAGTGAGGATTTAAGGCTTGGGAGGCAATACTCCATTCCCTGAGTCCCAAGCAGACTGGCTGCTTGGGCCTACTCCTGCCTCCCTGTGTTTTTAGTGTCTAATACAGGGGTCCTCAAACTTTTTAAACAGGGGGCCAGTTCACTGTCCCTCAGACCATTGGAGGGCCAGACTGTGGGCCCCAGGACAAGTTGGCTGCTAAGCAGGACAGGCAGTGGTGGCAAAAACACCTGGTGGGCCAGATAAATGTCCTAGGCAGGCTGCATGAGGCCTGCAGGCTGTAGTTTGAGGATGCCTGGTCTAATATGCAAGTCATTATGAGCAGCAGGTTACAAAAAGGCTGTGCAACCAGCTGAGAGACCTGAGAAGGCTCCTGACTCTGACTGAGAAGTTCAGATGCTCTCAGAGAGTGGGTCATTTTACCTGGGCTTGAGGCATAAATAGGAGTTTGGGAAGAATTCATTCTAACTGGAGGAAATAGTATGGGCAGAGACCTGGAGGTGTGTTTAGAGTGAAGAGCAAAGTCCTGTGTGGTTTGGACCCCTTGATTTGGGCGGGGTACTTTTCCTTGCCCCTCATGAAGACCACATTTTGTCTTTTATATTTAATCTTGAATGTTCAATAAAGCTGTAGGCCAGCCCTCACAGCCAACAGTGAGAAAAAATACCAGACAGGGACGGACAGAGAGGGCAGCAGGCCTGGGCAGCAGGGGCGATGGCCACCACCCTCTTCTCAGGGGGACTTTAACCCTGAAGGAACTAGGGGCTTGCATATGCAAACCCCAGCTTGCAAAAGCATCACCTCCAAATTGTTTAACCAGATCTTAATTTAGAACCGAGGAGGGGTGTGTGTGGCATGAGCGGATGTGCACGTACCAGATTTTAATTTAGAGCCTAGGAGAAGTGTGTGAGGCATGTGTGCACGCATGTACCATCAAGCATCTGGACAGGTGACTACATCTCGCGTAGCCTGAAATGTGAATGAAATGACCCATAGCCTGTGGCTCAGGAGGCTGCAGGGCGGCCTTGTGCACCCCATGCCTCACTCCACCCACAGGTCCCCAGGCTTCCCAGCTCTAAGCTCCAGGCACCCGAACAGGGACCCTCGCATGTTTCTTCCTGACTGTGAGCTGGTGTTCAGTATCCTTCCACAGGGGCCCCAGGGTGGCTCTGTCGGCAGCACCTGCACAGCCGAGTCCCAGGTCTTCCAAGTTGCACCAATGCTCCCTCTGCTTTGGCAGGTGAGGCTAGAGGCCCAGAGACTATGAGGCTGGTGAGGGAGGCTGAGGTTTGGCCAGACAGAGAGGATAAGGGAGGGAGGGCCTCCTGGGGGCATGGCTCAGGTAGCAGGATGGCACATTAGGACTGGATCTGGGACATTATTAATATAATTGGAATAATTATTATTAGAACAATTGTTACATGATGATAATCAATTGGGGAGCATGTGAAGCAACAATTTACCTGTGTGAGCTCAGCTGTGACCCCAGCTCTGACCTCTCTTACTGTGTGGCTCTGGGCAGGTCATGGCTTCCCTCAGTGCCTCAGTTTCCCCAGTGTACAAGGGGCCAAATTTGCTCCTCCTGGGCTGTGAGACCTGCTTAGCCAGCCCTGCAGCAGGGCAGCGGGGGGTGGGGGGACGGATGTCACAGTGGCCATGTCTGTACACTGTCTTGACCCTCCCCAGCACCACCATGTCCCAGCCCTGTGTGGCCTGTCCTGGAGGGAATGTGCTAATTGTAAGAGGCCGTGGGCAGGTCCATCTGCCCAGTTCCAGCCGGGACAGTCTCTGCCTGCTGGCCAGTTTGGGAGAGAGGCCATCTCCAGCCTGGAGTGGTGGCTAGAAGGCTGGAAGATGAGAAAGAAAGGAACCTCTGACTGCATCAGAGAGGAAACAGGCTGGACACCATAAGAAAAGTCACATCTGGAGTCTGAAATGTTAGGATTTTACCTTGAGGGCAATGGGGAGCCATAGAAGGTTCTTGGCAGGGTGGAGGAGCTAAAATATCCAACACAACTGAGCTCTTCTCATATCAGCAGGCCTTGGTCTGAGTGATCTTAGGACTTACTCCCCAGGGACTGTAGGGACTAAGAGGGGCAGGGGCCGGGGGATGTCACAGGAATGTGGAGGAGATGCTGTCTGATCATCACTCACTCAAAGGTACCCTCTTAATATCGCCAGTTACCAGCCTGAGCAAGAGCAAGACCCTGACCCTACTAAAAATACAAAAACTACCCAACTATTGTGGCAGGCACCTATAGTCCCAGCTACTCAGGAAGCTGAGGCAGGAGGATCACTTGAGCCCAAGAGTTTGAGGTTGCTGTGAACTGTGACCCCTCAACACTCTATCCAGGGTAAGAGAGTAAAACTCTTGTCTCAATAATAATAATAATACTGCTACTTAGCTGCCGTCAGTATTTCTGTGTACTTCTTCATAAGACATGTTTTCATCAGGAGGAAACTAAGGTTCCAAGAAGTCAAGTGACTTGCTTAAGGTCATAGAGCAAGAGAGTGTCCTGACCCAGAGCCCCCACCTTGTGCCCACAGTCCACTTACTGGCAGGAGAGGCTGCTTGGGTCTTATGCAGGCTGGGCCAGTGGGGAAAGGAAAGGCCTGGTTCTAGGCAGCGGTGAGATGAGCACCTGGAACCGTGTCAGGCTGGGAAAGCTGGGGTCTGATGTGGCCATGGGTCCTCTCCCCCAGCTACGGGGACCAGGTGCAGCACTTCAAGGTACTGCGAGAGGCCTCAGGAAAGTACTTCCTATGGGAGGAGAAATTCAACTCTCTGAATGAGCTCGTTGACTTCTACCGCACAACCACCATTGCCAAGAAGCGGCAGGTCCTCCTGCGTGATGAGGAGCCCCTGTTCCAGGTAGGAGGTGAGAGGTGGGGGAACGTGGGGGTTGCCCCTGGGAACCTCTGAGTCTCCTGCCCTCTCTTCCCTGGAGCCCAGTGTTGCAGGGGGAGGGGTCCAGCCCCCCACTGTAGTGGCTGCAGTGAGACAAGCAAAGGAGAAGAGGGGAAAAAAAGGAAGGAACAGAACAGAAATTCCATGGGGGTGAACTGTCTACCTTGTTCTCAGCTCCTAGAATAGTGTGTGGCACATAATGGGTGCTCCACAAATGTTTGCTGAATGAATGAATGAAGGCACAGACACCCACTGAGCCTCTGGCTACCATTCACAGAGTTGGTCTCTGCACTCTGGAAGCCTTATTGTGCCCATTGTACAGATGAGGAAACTGAGGCTCAGGGAGTGATGTGACTCCCCAAGGACATGCTCTAGTGGGCTTAGTTCTGGTTTCTGTTCCCAGAGGAGCTGGCATTAGGTGTGGAGCAGCGTGAACGCTTGTGTGCAAGGTCCTGGTCAGCCACAGGGTGTTTGTGGGGGGATCTGTATACCCCTTGTCCTACAATAATAGCAATTTGCTAGCCAGCCCTTTCATCAAGGGGCCCTGAGGACTGGCTCTTACTCTCATTAAGATGATGACAATGGCCAACAGGGTCATTAGCCCTGACTTGCTGTTTTCCTGCAGAGGGAGGTGTTGGTAAACCCTGGGGCTGGAGGTCAAAACCATGCTGCCTTTGAACGGGAGTTCTGCAGAGGGTATAGGGGGGAGCACAGCCAAGGCTTGGGGAGGAGCTGATGAATGCTACAGAGAAGCACCCCTTCTTCCCTGTTCCTAGTACCCTTACCCCCTCAGTATGTGACCTGAGGGCCAGTTCATCCCCAGTTTCTCTCCATCTGGTAGGATGAGCCCTGGGATACGAGATGCTTGGTGAGTCAGTGCCTTGGGAGACCCCCCCACTAGGAAATCTTCCATTGCCCACCTCTGCCCAACCCTAGGGGCCATGGTCAGCTATGAGCTCCCCAGCTGGGACCCTGTCTGCCAGACCTCTGTCCTTCTCTCATTGCCTCTCCCTGGGAGAGTATGGGAGCCAGGATGGAACTGGGGAATGACTGACGGGTCCCTTACACCCACCACCTTCCTCTGGCCTGGGCCCTGGGGTCACCCACCCTGTGGGGCAACTCTGGAGCTGTCTCAGTCCCCTGGGACCCAGGACGCCTCCTCCTTCCTGGGCAGACAGTCGCTAATTACAGCCTCTCTGCTGATCCTATCGTCCATCCTGGATGAGATTCTGCAGGCTCAGAGCTGACATCCTGGTGGGGCAGGCAGGGCCAGGGCACTGGGTGTGACAGTCCTGGGGCTGGGCAGATGTGCTGCAGAAAGCTCCTGTCCAGTTGCTACGCACAGGCAGGAAACAGTCCCATAGACAGAGCCAAGGTTACAGGGTGTTGAGAGGACTGGAACACAGACCTGACCGCTAAGAGCTGCTCAGAGTGACAGTCCTCACCCTCAACCTCTGACCAGGGGTCACAGCAGGGAACCCTGCTCTTGGCTGTTCATCATTTTACAGTTTATACAGCCTGTGACTGTGGCCTGGAGTCAAAGTCATCGTGGCTACTGCAGAGCCGGGGATATGAGACCCAGAGGGAGGCAGGGACCTAACAACGTCTCACTCTAAGGACCAGGACACCTGCCAGCCCTGTAGTCCCAGTGGGGCCCCCGGGAAAGTCCTATTGTTTTATGTAGACTCAGAGCCTGCACAGTAGACATGCAGGGGTGTGGGTAGCAGGAGGCTGGCCGGCTGGTGATGCGGGGTGTGGCCATGATCTGGCAGTGGCAGGCCAAGACCCCTCCCCACCTGAGGCTTCTCTTAGGAGCTGCAACAGGTCTCCTGAAGGTCCCACTAACCACTCCCTCCCTCACAGCCACCCCAGCTCTGCTTCGCCCAGGCCCAGTTTGACTTCTCAGCTCAGGACCCCACTCAGCTCAGCTTCCGGCGAGGTGACATCATCGAGGTCCTGGAGCGCCTGGACCCCCACTGGTGGCGGGGCAGGTATTGCGGGCGTGTGGGCTTCTTCCCACGGAGCTATGTACAGCCTGTCCACCTGTGACCCATGTCCAGAGAGAGGACATGGCCATCCCCACATCACATCACACAGGACTCAGCAGAAGGCCTTGGAAAGACATGGGCTCCTGTCTCCAACCACTTGGCACAAACCAGGATGGCCCCCAGCGCCCCAGAACTGCAGCTATATTTAGTGACCTCAGTGACAGTAGCTCCAGCATTTCCCACCTGGCCACTTTCCATTGGCTGCCAGTGGTGTGATGTCATGGGCAGGGTCTGAAAAGGCCCCACCCCTCCTGTCAATGGCCTCTCCTCTGGGAAGGTTGAGGACTCCCAGGTTGCACTCACAGAGGTTGGGGGGGTGGTTATAGCTCAGCCCAAGGAACCCTGGGCATGGTGAGAGGGTTGCCTTGGCAGACCACCTGCTAGGTCTACCTGCCTCTTCCTCCAAAGGCCTCTCAAGTTGTCTGGGCTATTGGGGAGGGGCTTTGCCCCTAGGGACATGCTGGACAGACACCGGGTGGACACCAACTTTTTAGCTGCATGACTTTGGCTCCAGCTGGAGCAGCTGGCACATCTGCCCCACCACAGACACTTTGGGGAGGGGCTGGAGACCCCAAGACCCTGAGGATGGGGGTGGGGGGCAGTGGGGAAAATGGACACAGGGCTCCTCTCCTATGGGAGCTCCAAGAGGCAAGCACTGGGCCCAGCCCCGCAGGGTACTGAGGCTGCACTGGCTCTTCAGGCCCAAGTTCTGCCCAAACTCGGGCCCAGAGAGCCTGAGGGAGGCCAAGAAGCCTACAGGCCAGATGGGAAGTCAGAGCCAGAGCTGGGTTTCAGAGATTCAGCAAGACCAGAGTGGGGCAGAGAGCTTAGGTGGGGGCTAAGGAAGGACAGGACACGTAGCCAGTGCAGGGCACTGAGCAGCACCTACCCAGAGCCTGGTACCTTCAGGACAGGACAAGAGAGGTGGGCTTGGAAAGGCTTTGAACACCAGGCTAAAGGTGGAGGGGCTGGTGTGCAGGAAGGGGGGTGGAGGGCTCTCCCTGGCATGTGGGTGCAGGCAAGATGAGGGATGAGCCCTGGTGGCTGCTGTAGTCCCTCAAGGGGCCCTGTGGGGGTCTTCATCCAGGGGGGCCAATACCCTCAAAACCCTGAGCTCTGAAAACTATGCTGCTCCTGAGCTGGCCCATGTATTCTAAACAAAAATAGTGAAACCAATGTAAATATGTCCATCAGAAATCTAATTTTCTTTCCAATTATGACGACTTTGGCGCTACTTTTGAAATTTTACAATTTTTTCCCCATTTCTCCCTAATTATTCTGGGCTCCCGCTTTGCTAGCTCAGCCAGTCCCTGTGTACTGACCCACTGGGTAGCTGGGAGGAGAGTCCAGCTCTGGGCCTTGGTGTCCCCATTAGAAGAAAGGGTAGACCTAAGGACTCAGGGCTCCTGCCTGCTGCCCTGGGTGGCAGCGTCAGGCGAAGTATGCATAGAAGAAGATGTTGACACACATGAGAAGGATGGCATTGAAGCCACAGACACGGGCCCAGAAAGTGTATTTCTGGGACTTTTGGCCATCACCTGGAAGGAGTTGAAGAGGGAGAGAGGGACAGATGAGGAACACGGGCCACACCGGCCACCCAATACCTAGCCCTGAGATAGGGAGTGAGGGGAGTGCCCAGGGTCACCCACTTACCTGTTTTGGCTCCCAAGGGCAGGTCCTGAGCCAGGGTCCACCATGTGAGATTCTCAATCTGCAAGAAATGAGTAGGGAGGCAGGTGGTCTTTGTCCCAGGCAGGAGCAGGGTTTCAGTGATAGAAGTATGGCAGCTGAACTCAAAAAGGGATGGAGTTAGGGAGTTAGGGCCAATCAGGCTCAGGGGGTTGAGACTAGACAATTCTTTCATTTTTTTTTTTTTTTTTTTTTTTGAGACAGAGTCAGTCTTCTTCTGACATCCTGGGTAGAGTGCCGTGGCATCATAGCTCATAGCAACCTCAAACTCCTCAAGCGATCCTCCTGCCTCAGCCTTTCAAGTAGTTGGGTCTACAGATGCCCACCACAACACCCTACTGTTTTTTTAGTTTTAGTAGAGATAGAGTCTCACTCTTCCTCAGGTTGGTCTCCAACTCCTCAGCTCAAGGGATCCTCCCACCTCAGCCTTCCAGAGTGCTGGGATTATAGGTGTGAGAGACCAGACAATTCTGGTCAGAGTCAGAAAATGGTCAGGGATCAGATTGGGAAACAGAAATTGTTAGGAATCAAGGTCAGGGATGGCATGCAGGGTCAGGGAACAGGACAGGCTTACCTGAACACGCTGGGGAGCTGGGGTCAGCAGGCTCCCGGCCACCACAACAGCACTGGTGAGCACAAAGAGGGCGATGGCAAAGTGTAGGTAGTGCATGCTGCCCAGGATGGCCGGCCGTGGGTCCGGCTCGCCACAGGGTGGGGCAGGGTGCAGGAATTCCAAAACCAGCCTTGTGGCTCCCATCGCCAGCCCCACCATCAGGCCCCAGAAGGCCCCCTGGGAGAGGAAGGCAGGGTATGCTGCTGTGGCGAAGACACCGAGCCCCCCAGACACACATAGGGGAGAGGTGAACAGGCCAAGCACCTCTGCAGGACGACACAAGGAGGCCCCTCAGCCTGCCCTGTGTCCCTCCCACCATGCACCTGCTCATTGGCACGCTGCCAGAAGATGCCCAGGACGAAGACTGCAGTGACTGGGGGAGCCAGGGAGCTGGTCACCGACTGCATGTAGATGAAGAGCTGCCCGCTGTTGGAGCCCTGCAGCACGGGGATCCAGGCCACACTCACACCGATGAGCACCACGATGACCAGCCTGTGGGTGGCAGGTGGCAGTCATTCTTATCTCTCCGGGTCACTGAGACTTGCTATGTGATCCGGCCCCTGCAACCCTAGCCTCAGCCTCCTCTCTGGCTCTGGTCCATGCCACCGGTGACCTGGCCAGTCCTGCCTGCCCCAAACACTTCCATGGCCCCTCCCCCCACTGCCTGCAGAACAGCCCCCTGACTCTAGTGCTATCTGCTCCCTCTGGTCCCTGGGCACCACTGAGTCAGCCTCTGCAGCCCTCCACACCCACCCAGGCTTCACTTGTCTCCACTGCTATGTGCACATTTATTTTGGTGTTTACCTGTTTACTACCTGTCCCCTCTCCTGACTGGAAGCACCAGGAGGGCAGGAGCCTCATATCTTTAGTTCACTGCTATGTCTTCTGGCTCAGCAAACATTTGGTGTTGGCATGAATGACCCACTGCCCTCAAATCTGGGCCAACCAACCTCCTGCTCTTTGAACACACTGAGCTTTTGTTCATATTGCCCATCCTTGGCAGGGGCTGGGGCCTATTGTGGCACCCCCCCCCACCCACACAGTCTTTTGCTGTGACTCATACCCATCCAGGGCAGCCTCCCTCCTAAGAGTGCAGTGATGGAGCCTGGACTCCTCGCCCCAAGCCTGAGCCCTTCTGAGCCAGTGGGAGGAAGCTCTTCCCTGCTCACCCTATATCCAGCCCTCCTGACAGCTCCTGCCTGCTAGGACATTTGTCCCTCAACAAACCACTCATGAGATGCCCCTCTGGGTGCAGTGCCCCGTGCTAGGAGCTCTGACTTAGAGATGACCAGGCCGTGGTGCCTGCCCAGCACTCAGAGTCCAGAAAGGAAAACAGATGACCCTGTCACCTGTGCTCAGGGCAGGCTGAGGAAGCCCAGGGAAGACATCAATCTAGGAGGGCTTCCAGGAGGAAGGACACCTAGGCTCTTGAAGGGGCTTGGAACTCAGCTAAGGGGACAGAGCTGGGGTGAGCCCTAGCTGAGTGCCTCTTACTCCTGTGTCCTGGTTAGTTGGTACCTCTCACCCCCAAGGTAGGTGGTGGGCAAGACCTGCTGGAACCCTGGTCAGGCCAGCATGGGTGACAGACGCTGTGTGTGCAGCTGGGTGGATCTTCTCCCTGCCTGTCTGCCTCCCCTTCTTCCCTTCCAGGCCTGAGGGAGAGGGTGGAGGAAGGAGGTGCCACCTTGATTAAGGCTAATTAACCCTTAGCCTGGCAGGCGGGAGGGAGCTGCCTTCATCAAAGGCACAGGCGGGCTTCCATTAACACCTGCCACCTCGCCCTTCTCACACTGCTCCCGCCACCCAAAACCAGACTCCATAGCTGTGTGCCAGGGCCAAGCCCTCACTTTGCCCTGTTCCGATGCAGCTGCCTGCAGGCCACCAGAAGCCCTAAACCCAGAGGCTGCGCCTTCTCCCTGGGATGCCCTTCTCAACCCCTCCCGCAAACCCTCCTCACCCTCCAAGAAGGCTGCACAAGCCCAGCCCCCACACCATCATCAGGATGGGCAGCACCCCACACCCTGGCATCCCCCTGAGGTGCACTCATGGTCACAGGGGAGCCCCTCCAGGAGGGTCTGGGATCTCTCTGCATTCTACATATCACTGCTTGGCAGGGCACCAGGAGGCCTTGGGCCTCACGCACGGACTAAACAACAGAGAAGGCAGATGGGAGGGACACTGCGGGAGAGAAGGAAGGAAGCCACTTATGCTGAGTGGGCATAAGGGCTTGGGGCAAGCAGAGATGCAGCCCCAGAAGTGGGCCATCACTGTGCCTACTGTGAAGGCTTCCACAGTCTCCCCCCAGCCTGACCCTATCAGGGCCACTGGCCTCCTCCAGCAGCCTCCCCCTTTGCTGTGAGTCCCATGTCGCCACCACGAAGCCTCAGGTCCTACCACCCACCCACCAGAGGCGCCCCCTGCAAGCTATGGAAGTATAGCTTGAATGATAGTGTTATAGGTAGGAGGAGGTTGAGCTATCAAGGGTTCCCAGCGCTTCAAGAGGGAAGGGAGCAGAGCTGATGCCTGGCATGCTCCTTTGAATTGGCTGCTGAGAGAACTGAGGCCCAGAGAAGGGGAGCCACCTGCCCAGCATTGCACAGCTTTGTGTCCTGCCACACGGGGAGGGTGAACAGGCTGGCAGAGTGGGGGAGGGCTTGATTTGGCAGGAGGGATGGGAAGGAGGTCGAGGATCCAGTGCTGGGCAGGTGAGCTGCATGGAACAGAGGTCTGGTCAGGACTCTGGCTTCAGGTGGGAGCAGGGAAGGAGCCTGCTTCTGAGGAGGCAGGGGACAGGAGGGCCACTAGGCAGGTGCAGCAACTACCAGTGTCCCAGGCCAGTGGCCAAGGCACACCCTGAGTGCCAGATGATCCAGGTCCTGGTTCCCAGGATGCTGGAGCAGTGAGGGACTTGGAACAAGGTTTGTCCACAGAGAAGATGCTGTGGTCAGGCCTCCCCTAGGCCTTACAACAGCCGGAGAGGCAGGGGAACTAGACGGGAGGAGGTGGACAAAGGTGCATCGATGTGGAAGCTTCCTGTGTGGGGGGAGGCTCCTTGCTTCAGAGGAGCCTGTGAGCCTGCTGATGAGCTCACAGGCACTGCCACCGGGCGTGTCCCAACAGGGCCCTTCCAACAGGAGCCTTGCTGTTTTGCATCACTGGGGCAACTGCCTGGAGCTGTGGGGGAGGCCCCACCCTGAGGATGGGCACCTTGGGCAAAGGGTGCTCTGTTGGCCAAGCTAAGCACCAGAAGGCTGGGCTCCTCAGCCAGCAGAGTGGGGCGGGGTGGCTCAGAGAGAGATGAGAGGGGTGAGAGAGGGCCCAAATTGACAGACATGGGCACACACTCAGAGACATCAACCTTCATCATCTATGGAGTTCACCTCTATAGGACTGCTGGGTGCCTGGCTGGGTGTGGGCTAGAGGGATGGCCCAGACACAGCCCTGTCCTCACAGAGTGTCCAGGCCCATGGGGAGGGAGTGGCATCAGGGGAACCAGTTGGACCTATATTGGCCACATGTGCTGCAGGGGGGATCTAGCAATAGTCTCTGGGGGCACGGAGGGGAGCAGGGCTCATTTCCTGGTTGAGGATATCAGGGAGGACTGCATGGAGGAGGGGATGCTGGGAAGAGTTGGGAAAAATCAGGGTGAGCCACTGAGGTGAATAGGAGCCGACAAGCAGGGCTAGGAGGGCAGGAGCTCAGTGGGGCCAGGGCCACAGAGGCCAGGAAACTGCTGTAGCCCAGGAGTAGCCAGTCCTGAGGGTGGGCTCACAGCCCTCTTTGGGGTGGCTAGACACCATCAGGAGGGCTCAGGGCTCAGGGCTTCAGTCTGCTGTAGACAGAGAGGTATCTGGCATGGCTGGGGCAGGGAGGGCTGGCCCTCAGGTAAGAAACACATCCCGGATGAGGACTGTGACCAAGAAGGGGTGGATAGCCTCTGGCCTCTTCCTTCCTTCTTGGCATCTGCCATTCTCAACTAGCAAACTCCTATTCATCCCTTAAAGCCCATCTCTGGTGGGACGTCATGGACTTGTCATGTGGCTGAGACTGCTCCCCAGGGCCCTTTCAACCATACCGTCCCACTAGCAGCAGCTCCCGCTCACTGGCATGGGGCCGCAGCCGTCTCCAGATGTCCATGGTGAAGAGTGTGCTACTGCTATTGAAGATTGAGGTCAGCGACGACATGAGTGCGGCCATCATCACTGCAATCATCAGCCCCCGCAGACCTGAGAGTGGGAGGGGGCTTGCCGTGATCCTGCCTGACCTTCACTTGACTCCATGAGCCCCTCCTGACTGGCCCCATTGCTGTTCATAAGTTCCTGGGGACGGAGGGACAGGAGGGCGAGAGGCTGAGGATGTCTAAAGTGAGCAAGAGCCCAAAATAAGCTTGGGGCTGGATATAGTGTTCATGCCTGTAATCCCAGCACTTTGGGAGGCCAAGGTGAGAAGATCACTTAAGGCCAGGAGTTGGAGACCAGCCAGGACAACATAGCAAGACCCCATCTCTACAAAAATAAGAAAATTAGCTGTGCATGGCACCTGTAGTCCCAGTTACTCTGTAGGCTGAGGAGGGAGGATTGCTTGAGCCCACGGGTTCAAGGCTACAGTAAGCTATTATTGTGCCACCGCACTCTAGCCTGGGCAACAGAGCACAACCTCATCTCTAAAATAGATATTTACTGGGGAGGCCAAAGACAAACCAAGGGGACTCCTGAACTTGCTGCTTGAGCCCGCGGCCAGCTGGCGGGACTAATCCCGACTGTAATTATTGTACTGTTGATGCTATGATCTGCTGTCATTTCTGCAGAGCCTGGCATTTGACAAAGCACTTTCACACCCATGACTTCATTAGAGGGAAGGATTATTAACCCGTTTGACAGAGGAGGAAATGGAAGCCTGGAGAAGGGAAGAGAGGAAACTAGAGACTCACAGCAGGACAGACACAGAACCTTGGGGTGCGGTTGGGAGGGCTGAGGAAGGCTTGGGGCAGGACCCTCTGCTTGGCAGTCACACCCTGGGCAGGGCGTGTCTCACCCCAGCCTGCTTCAGAGGCCCAGTCTCTGCAATTTCCCACCACTTCCCATGTGTGACAGGACCCAGCAGGCATAGGGAATCTTCTTTCTGTTTGGCTCTATTCTTCCCCAGAAGGGGAGAAAAATGCACTCTGCTGTTGCCTAAGAGTGAGTAAGGGCTGTCTGTCGAGGCTCGGATGTGCAAGCCTTCTAGGGGTGAAGACCCTAAGGAGGTACAGGGATGCTTGACTGCCAACTCTGAACAGTGTGGCTTCAGGCTGGTCACCTCCCCTCTCTGGGCATTGGTCCCAGTCTGTCTCCAAGGACTTTTGAAAGTTTTCTTTTCTTTTTTATTTTATTGAGACAGAGGCTTACCATGTCACCCTCGGTAGATTGCCATAGTGTCACAGCTCACAGGAACCTCAATCTCTTGGGCTTAAGCGATTCACTTGCCTCAGCCTCCCAAGTAGCTGGGACTACAGGCACCTGCCACACGCCGGACTATTTTTTTGTTGCAGTTGTCATTGTTGTTTAGCAGGCCCAGGCTGGGTTCGAACCTGCCAGCCCTGGAGTATGCAGCTGGCGCCCTAGCTGCTGAGCTACACGTGCTGAGCCAACTTTTGCAAGTTTTCATCAAGTGTCTAAGCACTTCCCTCACTTTTGCAAATGTTCTGCGCTTCTGTCCTCTGCCCCTTGCCCTAGGATAAGCATGACAGGGGCCACCTCCCCTGAGGGCTCAGGCTTAGAGGTGCCATTTATTTGTCTATCTGGGCTGTCTGGTCTTGGTTCTGTGTCTGATTTGCTGTGTGACTCCCAGGCATTCTACTGCCTTTTCTGTTCACTTGTCTGACTGGGTTGGTGCCCAAATGAAAGTGAATTAAATCATGGTTTCCCCAAAACATTTCTCCACCTTCTTTGTCTTGCTCAGGGAGGTGGATAACATGCGGGTTATTCCACCTATTTCTTAGAGAGGGAGCTCAAACCCTAGAGAGGGGTTGTGGCCCAAGACCAAGACGGCTGGCTATTAGCCCTGGCCTGGGAGAGTTTAGGGAGTCCCCTTGCCCAGAACAGAAGGGGAAGGCAAAGCCCAGAGGCAGGAACCCACAGCGTGGCCCACCATTGCCAGGAAGATTTTCCTATCTTATTCTGTTCAATTCTAGCAACAACGCTGAGGGCGGGAGTATAGAAGCCATTATCTCCAATTTACGAACGAGGACACTGCGCCACACAGGGAAGTGACCTGTCCCAAATATCTCTACCAGCATGTGGCAGAGCCAGAAGCTGATGCCAGGTCGTGCACTCACTTCCTGTGGCCCTGGGCTCTGCAGAAAGGAGGGAGGGAAGGAAGGAAAGAGAGAAGGGAAGAGTAGGGTAGGGCTCACCTGGGGGACCTGGAAGCTTCTTGGAGGGACCAGGAAAAATCAAGCCTCTGAGAATTCTGAGATGAAAAGCTCAGTGTGGCTCAGCGCCTATAGCACAGTGGTTGCACCAGCCACATACACCGAGGCTGGCAGGTTCGATCCTGGCCCTGCCTGTTAAACAACAACAACTCCAACAAAAAATAGCCAGGCCTTGTAGCGGGTGCCTGTAGTCCCAGCTACTTGGGAGGCTGAGGCAAGAGAATCACTTAAGCCCAAGAGTTTGTGGTTGCTGTGAGCTATGACCTATGATGCCACGGCACTCTACCAAGGGCAACATGGTTAGACTCTGTCTCAAAATGAATAAATAAAAAAATAAATTAAAAAAATTAGAAAAGCTCTGGTGGTAAAGGGCTCAGAAAACTGTTTCCTCTTTTTGCTTAGGGTGTGACCTCCCATACCCTTTGCTATGTGGCTTTTACTTCCATACCTCCTGTGATGGGAAGCTCACCACCTGTATCAGACTGGCAGGGCTGCTGCTGCCGTGAGAAACATGGAAAAAGCCAAAACTTACCCCATGGCTGTACCTATTGGCCTACAGTGTCTCTTGGGGAGACAGAGGATGGGGGTTTGTGCCTGCAGATGTGGGAAAGGGGAGAGCCCGAGCTCCAGATCCTGGCAGAGTAAGCAGTGGACTTGGGTTTGTGTCTCAGTCATTCTATAACCTCAGACAAGTCATTTTCCCCTCTCTGGGCTTCAATTTTCCCATCTGTAAAATGGAGCCAACAAACCTACTGCATAGCATTTAAGGAGACGCTGTCTAGTAAAAGGGTCTTGCGCCCAGTAGACACATAAGACAAATTAGGTGACCTTTCCTGAGAGATGGTATAGCACGGGATGAGAGGACAAGGTCTGCAAATCCCAGGTTTGCAGCTTACTTGCCATATGACCTTAGCCAGGTCACTTAACCTCTCTGGATCTCAGTTTCCCCACTTTAAAATGGGGATGATACCGATAGTATTTAGGGCTCCTAAGAGGAAGCCTGGCACGAGTAGGTGTGCGACCGTTTTCTATCATGGTGCTTCTGCTCTCTTCTCCTGGGAGCAGAACATCTCACATGGATGTCACCTTGGGCCCAACATGGCTCCCACAGTTCCCCAGCATCCCGCTCCTTGGGCCCCATTGCCCCCAGACCCCGACCCACTGGCCTCACCTGTGGGCATCAGCTCCATGACCAGCTTAGGGTAGGCGATGTTGGAGCAGCCGACTTCGGCCCCACAGGCCCGAACACACTCAGACGGAACCACACAGCCCACCTCATCTGCAGGAGAGGGATGCTCAGTGCCTGTCCCCAAGGACGTGGGCACCTGGGGTGGGCAAGACCCCGGGGCGGAGCTTGTCCCAGCCTTTACTGCTTGGCCCCACCTCCCAGTCTGAGCCACGGGGAGGGTTGGCCTGGGGAACACTTCTGGCTCCAACTCCCTAACTCTTTCCCACCTGCTGTCCTCCACCATGACCGCTTCTCCCTGTCCCTCCATGTGCCCAGGCCAGGGGCCTGACTGCAGTGTGGGCCTGCCATGGTCAGCTGGCCATAGAGCCTATCAAGGGTGCTAGTCTTCCCCTGCCCTCCCCCCTTCCCAGCTATTCTGGCCTTGGTGTCACCACCTGCAGCTCTTTAGGGTGAGTTCCAGTGCCACCAGCAAGGTCTGCCCATGTGAGCTTGCCCACTGTGGGGTCACTCTCCCCCCACCCTGGAGTCAGAGTCAGGACAGGCCATTTTCTGAACTGATGCCTAGAACTTTCCAATCACTAGCATCTCTAGTGAACTGAGAGAAAGACAGAGATGGGCCCCTCTGGTCATGCTGCAGCAGGGGTAGGTGAGAGGAGCAAGACAGCATGACCACGAGCTGCCCCAGATGACCCCGGGCTGCCTCTGCCCTCCCTCCCCACAGGGTTTTCCTGATCCCTTGTCATCCTTGGGGTGTTTGGTTCTTGCCTCTTCCTGGTGGCAGGTGAGCCCCATGAGAATGGGGCTTTGCCATGTGCTGTCTCCCCATGGCTAGGGCAGTGTGTACCAGATGTCCGGTGAATGAAGGAACGAATTCATGAATTTCTTGGGCTTGGGCTAGACCTGGACTGACCCATAACTCCAAGAGTCCCAGCCCCCTGGCAGAACCCTGACCCTGTGTCCGTGGTCCTGGGGCATGAGGCTTCCATGGCTGCCCCCCTCTGTGGCACTCCGCGACTCCAGGCAGTCGTGGGGTCTTTGTCTGGCTCACAGCAAAATGCAGCTGAGGGAGGGACCCGTGTTCATTTTCCTTACCATAAAATGCCTTCTAAAAACTTCAGGCTCCTGCCTCTTGGGGTTTTCAGTAGGGAGCAAACCAGGATATGGCAATTATTGGGGAGTTCAAAGACAGAGGGGGCAGGAAGTTGTGGTGGCCTGTTGGGGGCCAGTTAAGTCACTACAAGGTATTTCTGTGACTGGGGCTCCCTGTGCAGACTGCTCCCTCAGAATGCCTCTTCTCATAGCCCAGCCTAAGGAGGAGGGCGTCTCAGACCCCTTTCCCTAGGCCACCCCCATGCCCACCTCTGTCTCTAGTCCAGCCTCTCTGAGCTCCAGCAGACACTCCCCTCAGGGTTTCCCAGCCTCCCACCAGCCCACAAGCCCACAGCTGCTCCTCCCTCCCCTCAGGCTCCCGCCCTGCCTGCTCTGTCCAAGCCCCTCACCACCCTTTTGCAATCATAGCTCTCATCATACCACTTCTCAGGTTCCTGGAGCCCACGGCATCCTGGGATTAAAAGTCCTTTCTATGGCAATAGAGGCTCTTGACAACTGGTCCCCAAACCTCCCATACCAGCGCGGAGCACCAGCCGCCCTGATCTGCTTGTATTTTCTCACGCACACCCAGCACACTGACGCCTCCATGCCCTTCCAGACGCCTGTCCATTTAACGCCCACCCCCACCCTTGTTTGCCTCCTGCTGCCAGGGTTATTGCAAAGGGCTTGTCCTCTGAGGCCTTCCCTGACTCTCCCCCAACCCCAGGCAGTAGCAGCTTCCTCCCAAAGGCTCCTGAGGCCAGGACTGAATCACAGCTGTTTGTTTACATAGTCTACCTTTTCCAATAGGCAGCAGCTCCCCAAGGGCGGACACTGGGTTTGAATCATCTCCCAGTTCCAGGTATCTCAGCACAGGGGTGGGCCCAGAGGAGACATTCTGTGAACGTTTGCTGAATTAGTGAATGAGTAAGTGAATGAACGGTGGGGAGGAGAGAGGAAACGCACAGCAGGAGAGTAGAGGAGGGAAAAAGGATCCTAGAAAGAGCTGTGAAGGAGTTCAGGCACCATGTGATCCAGCTGCCCTCTCTACCACCTCCTCCCCATAGGTTTTGCAGGACCAGAAAGGACATAACTTGCATGAGACACACAGATCCAGGACAGAGGCTGGGGCCCCATGGGAGGACTCCAAGGGCACTAGGGTTCAAGATTTGAAGGGCAGGTGATGGGCCCTTCTGATGGGCCCTGAGCCTGGGTCAGCTGACTCTGGCACTTGGAGGCACCAGTCTTCCCGGGAGGGCTAGATGAAGCATAATGGCTCAGAAAGCAGAGTCAGGAGATTCTTCCCCAGTTTACTCAACCCATTCCAGGCTGCCAGCATGGGGTACCGCCTCTGAGCACCACCAGTTGGGCCAAGTGTTTATGCTGAACAGCAAGAAAGAACCACCTCTCCTTTATGAGAACAGTGGCAGTGGCAGCAGGATCACTGCTGAAACAGTCTGCCAGTATGCCAGCCCCCGGGTGAGGGGAGCAGCCCAGAGGCCAGTGAGATTTGGGGAAACAGGCAGGGGGTTGGCCAGAAAGCTGGCTTCTGCAGGCCTAGGAGTGCTCGTGGGTTCCATTTTGCTTCAGCACACCAAGGAGCCAGGCCCATGCCAGAGGCCTGGGAGCTGACTCTCTCCTTGCCCCTGCATCCTCCCTCCCCACCACAAATGTCACATCCTGCTTGGTTACTGGGGTAACCACACATCCTCACCATCCCCCTGCAACCCATGTGCCCCACAACCAAGCAATGGGAACTTCTAAAACCAATCTGCCCATCTCCTTCCCTGCTCACAACCCTCTGTGGTTCTCCAACCCTGCACGGAGGAAATCGCTGCGCTCTAACCAAAGCCTTCCACACACTTTGTCACCTTCACCTCCACTAATTTCACCCAGGCAGTTCTCTGGACACCTCTGGGTCTCTGTGTCTGTGTTTGCTGTTCCCTGTTCCCGCCTTCATAAACCAAGGGAACTCATTCTCATTCCTCTCAATTCTTTATGGATGTCTGGGCCTGAGGGCTTTGGGGCAACACCCTCCATGGCACCAATAGCTCCATGACCTGTGTCTGGCCTAGTTCCCCTCCAGACTATGGCTATGGGACCTCAGGGAAAAGCCTAGGCCCCAAGAATGACCAGCATAAGCCACGATATGGCAGCTTCTCCCAGTGTTTGTTGACTGACTGAAAGATCCTCTCTCTAGGAGGCTGCTGAACACAATACCCTGAGTAGTAATCAAGGGGTTCCTTACTCCCCAAATAGGCCTGGCACATCCTCAGAAGCTAGCTCAGGCTCACAGAGTTGGGTTTGAGTCCAATCTCCCAAACCCTTACTGTGTGATCCTGACTGATTAAAATCTGTGAGGCTGGCAGCACCTGTGGTTCAGTGGGCCCTATATACCGAGGGTGGAGGGTTCAAACCTGGCCCCGGCCAAACTGCAACAAAAAAATAGCCAGGTGTTGTGGCAGGCGCCTTAGTCCCAGCTACTTGGGAGACTGAGGCAAGAGAATCATCTAAGCTCAGGAGATGGAAGTTGCTGTGAGTTGTGTGATGCCACAGCACTCTACCGAGGACGATAAAGTGAGACTCTGTCTCTACGAAAAAAAAAAATCTCTGAGGCCGTTTCTTTCTCTGTAAAAACTCTTATGAGAACATTTATAGGGCAAAAACCTAACCTCAACCTAAACACCACACTTTGTGTAAAATTAACTCAAAATAGATCACAGATTTAAATGTAAAATGTAAATAAACTATTAAACTTTTTAGAAAAAAATAGATCTTCAGGACCAAGGCTAGGCTATGAAAGTTTATCTTATAAATTGGACCATTTAAGGCATTTGGGGCTAGGCGCCATGGCACACCAGTAATCCTAGCACTCCGGAAGGCTGAGGTGGATGGATTGCTTGAGTTTAGGAGTTCCAAACCAGCCTGAGCAAGAGTGAGATCCTGTCTCTAAAAACAGCCGGGTGTTATAGTAGGTGCCTGTAGTCCCAGCTACTTGGGAGGCTGAGGTTCAAGGATTGCTTGAGCCCAGGAGTTTGAGGTTGCTATAAGCTATGATGTGACAGCACTCTACCCAAGGTGACAGAGTAAGACTCTGTCAAAAAAAGAAAAAAAAAATTGGACCATTTTTGTCAAGTGCAACTAAAACAGAGTCAAAAAGCCAGGAAGGAAAAAGCACTTGGGGGCACATAACATTGCTGGAAAAAATGTAATTCTCTGCTGGCCTGGCTGCTGAAAGTGCCTGCTGTAATCCGAAACCAGTTTTATCTATTGCTGCTGAGATAACTTGCTACAATTCTAGGACTAACTTTCCTCACTTGCCCACTGCCATCACTGACTAACCAGAACTTTCCAGCTCCCAAACGCTTACTAGGGCTAGTGAACTTTCTCAAAGACCAGTATATGATATTTCTACTTTTTATAAAACCCCTAACTGCCTCTGTTCTTCAGACATGAGGTACACATGCCCTGAATTGCAATTCTTTCTTCCCAAAGAATACATTAAATATAGTGACTGGTCTCTACATTTTTTTTTAAGCTAGGGTCTCACTCCATTGCCTGGGCTGAAGTGCAACAGCATCATTGTAGCTCACAGCATCCTTAAACTCCTGGGCTCAAGCCATTCTCCTGTCTCAGCCTCCTGAGTAGCTGGGACTATAGGTATGTGCACCACACTGGGCTGATTTTTTTTTTTTTAGAGACAAGAGTCTCGACGTGTTGCCCAGGCTGATCTTGAACTTCTGGACTCAAGTGATTCTTCTGCCTCAGCCTCTCTAAGTACTAGGATTACAGGCATGAGGCACTGTGCCCAGCTTCATCTCTACATTTTCATTTTGACTTTGACAAGGCAAAGAATTCTTAGACTTGTCATCAAAATCATGATGCATAGGGCGGTGCCTGTGGCTCAAAGAAGTAGGGCCCCGGCCCCATATGCCGGAGGTGGCGGGTTCAAACCCAGCCTGGGCCAAAAAAAAAAAACTGCAAATAAATAAATAAATCACATTAAAAAGATCTGAAACTGAATGAAAACAAATGCTAAATAAAAGTATCAAGTTAAAAAAAAAACTTCTGCATTTATCAATCACTCTACCACCTTTCTTGACTTCATTATTATAGTTTTTAT